AGGTAAATATATCAAGTTACGAGGTTGAATGTCTATAGCATAACCAGCATCTACGTCAATGGAAAATTCAAAAATTGCGTGTGACGGTTTGCTGTTATAGAATGAACCTGTTGTAATATTACAGTCAATGTGTACAGTAATCACTTTAACTATTTTCACTGGTAGATCGGACGAATGAAGAATACCGGTATCTAGTACTTTTTTTGAAAATCCAAGGATTCTTCCAATACTATCTTCGTGCTTGAAATCTATAACGTATTGATTACTAAACAATTCGCACTTGAGAGTATTATTGTTCGGTTTGAGTGAAAACGGTGGTATTTTTTCCAGTGTTTCTGTATGAGTATTGAGATACTGTTCGATGTCACCTATTTCGTATACACCTGTTGGAATTGTTATTGTTTTCACTTTGTTGTCTTTCTTGTTATGGAAATAAAATTTATTGGCACCTTCTTCTATGTTTGGGATTGTGTTGTATGAATGAAAGCCAATCAAAGCAATTCCGTAAAGTGAATGAGGTTCGAGTTCAATTGGATTGATAAAATCAATGGATAGTACTGAAGAGCGACTTCTCAGAGTGATTAACTGTGACATAATGATACAAAGGTTGTTGAATCATTGAGTTTTATATAAAAATTCTAAACACAAATGTCCGCAATTGAACTGATCAAATGTTTGGTAAGGTTGATGATTATAAAGTATTTTCACACCAGTACCAAGGTATCGAATTAGCTCAAGAGGAGGTTTTAAATTTCCAAAACTATCAAAATAATTAACTACTTTACCTATCTTCCTGTATGCTACCCAATGAGTACCAGCATTAGCACTAAGATCTAGATTGATAATTGCACACTCGTTATTTTTTGGTTTCGTGCTCGGTAGGGTATCCCTCATATATACATTTTTAAAATGTTTTATGTTGAGCAGTTTCGCGTATCTCAAAATATCATAATCGGAAAGCGCTCTATTGGGTAGCTTTACTGGTAGTTTTTTGATTTCTGTTTTTTGACGTATAAACCACTTCCAGATGATTGTTTTTCCAGGAATAAACCCATACCACCATGCTTATTTTTATGTAGATACAAGCCAGATCCTCGTTTACCTAGTGCAATAGCTTCGATTGTTCTGTTATGTCGCTCTGCTTCTGCCAATTGTTTTTTGGCGTTCTTAACGTCGATAGCAGTTTTTGCAACCGCAGCCGCTCCACCTGTAAGTGAACCCAATGCCCCTAATGCTCCCAGTATAGGTAGAATTGGTAAAATGCCACCTGTCTTTGGTATCGGTATAATTCTAGGAATATTTACTTTTCGTCGCCCACCGGCACGTTTAATAGCTACGCGGGCTGCGCGTAACGCAGTCAGTGCAGATTTATTCAAATCCGCTTCATTGTCACTATGAGGTAGCTTTATTTTTTTCAATATATCTCGGTAAAAGGAAATGGACTTGAGTTTTTTTATTCCATTTTTCTTAGTTGCGCCCGAATCCATACCTACGTTACGTTTAACCTTCATTGCTTTCACTGTAGGTTAGATAACAATTTGTTGAGACTGCTCTATAACGTTTTATAGGTGTTGATGGTGTGAGATCAAACCAATTAATAAGGTTAATGTTTAGTGATCTCTACTATATATATATATATATCCGTCTACAACCGTTCACTCATTGACAAGATGCGTCTCGTTAAACAACAAATCTTATTACCCACACAAAATTTAGATTATTGCACCGTTACACCTGTACCCTTAAAATTCAAACACAGTAAGTTGCTACCTAATAATATTCGTTGCGCAGTTTGCGGGGGAAGTGGTTCTGGAAAGACCAATGCTGTATTATCACTTTTATTTCATCCAAACGGTTTGAAATTCAAAAATGTATACATTTACTCCAAATCCTTATATCAACCAAAATATCAGCTACTTAGAAGTGTTCTTGAGAAAGTTAAAGGCATACAATATTTTCCATTTAGTGACAATGAAACAGAAATAGTTGATCCATCGTGCGCTAATGAACATTCAATTTTTGTATTTGATGACGTTGCAACTACGAAACAGGATAAGTTCAGAGATTATTTTTCCATGGGACGACATAAAAATATTGATTGTTTTTACTTATGTCAAACATACTCGAAGATTCCCAAGCAGTTGATAAGAGATAACTGTAACATGGTCATTTTGTTCAAACAGGACGATGTAAATTTGAGACATGTGTATAATGAACATGTTACAGTTGACATGGACTTTGATAAATTTAAAAATCTGTGTGCAGAGTGTTGGAAAGATCAATATGGTAGTATGGTAATTGTGAAAGATTTTGATATTAATAAAGGACGGTATCGTAAAGGATTTGATATGTATATAAGTTTGTAATGCTACCAGAAATCAACCATTTCTGAACATGCCTCCTAAACATATAGATCAAGAAGAGCTACGTAAAAGAAAAATTATACAACTTGCACGGGCAATAAGAAAAAAGTATTTAGCATTGAAACTGGGTAGAAGTGAAGAAGATACGGTATTGGAACGTGTATTTAAGCCGATTGTTGAACCACTGAGACTCTTAACCAACGAAAATGACTTAACAGGTGCTGATAATATAAAACTTAAGAAGCAACTTAAAAAATTAGACAAAGAAGAAAAAATACCCATGCCTCCACCACCATTTATTCCAGAAGAAGATATTGCAAGTACCTATATCAAAGGTTCTGAAAACGAACATGTTAATGATTATGATGATGTATTTGTGAATCAGTCTAATGATTCCATTGACCATTCACAGATACAAGGTGTAAGAGATGAAGTAATTAATGAATACATTGATCAGTATCCAGAGATAGCCCAAAAATATGTAACTGAACATTGGTTAGATGACCAAAAGATTGATAAAAATTATGGTCCTGTGTATGATGCATCGAACTCATCTTGGTTATTAGGTAAGAAACGCATTGATTTCAATCAACGCACTGGGCACATTATAATTGATGGTAATCAATTTCCGGGTACACCAGGTTTATATCAACTAATTTTCTATAAGGATCCATCATATAACGATGAGGACCGTGCTATGTATAAACATATGCTGGCATTAAGCGAAGTACATAAAACTGCATCAGGACGTCTTAAAGGATCCAACATGTACAAATACAAAGAAATTATCAGACCTATGTTCTATAAACAACGATTAGATGCTACCACAAGTGTTTCAGGACTTGGTTTACCAAGAAATATGACTTATAATAATAAAAAAGTAGAGTATGTGTACTGGGATAATTTGAATGAGTTAGTTGATAGGTTGAGATTACTTATAGCTGCACAAAACGCTGGCAATAATTCAGTAAACAATGAAATACTGTCTATCATTGAAGAGCTTCAAGAAGCAGGAGTTATAGTTAAATAAGAAGTAAATACATATGTTGTATATGAATCTTGAACATAACCGATATGACCGTTGACAAGTTTGGACGTGTAGCTGCACCAGAAAGGCGCCCTCTACAACAGTCTTTTCAATCTACGCGACATGGTTTGCTTATGACTAGTGATGGTAATATAGATGTTGAAAACTTGAAATTATGTAACGTTAAAGACCCCACTGACATTGGAGATGCAACTAATAAAAAATATATTGATAATCAGGTAACTACTTTAAATAAACTTCGCTTAGAGCTAAGTGAAGCCATTTCACAAGAATTAATAAAACTGGAAGGTTATCAAAAGAATGTTCACGAAACCTCAGTCAATTTAAATAAAAAAGTGACAGATATAGAATCAAATCTACAGAAACTGTTGAACTATCACATAGACACATCAGCATACATAGATAAGAAGTTTACTGAAGTTTCTACACAAATTTCAGAAATTCAAGGAAAACTTACTAAATTGAAAACTAAATACGACATAATAGAAAAAAAATATAATCAACAATCAAATAGCGTAGTATAAGACCGCATTTGTATCGAATAATTAAAGTAATTAACTAATAGTCACCATGAAAGCTACTCATTCTACAGAAAAAATTCAGCTTGCGAACGAACTACACACGCCTATTCGAAAAAAGTTCAGAACACGAAGAGCAATAATACGAGGGTTAGATGATTTATGGCAAACAGATCTCATTGAGATGCAACCTTATGCAAAACAAAATCAAGGATATCGTTATATTCTAATAGTAATTGATTGTTTTTCTAAACTTGTATGGGCTAGACCACTTAAGAATAAAACTGGAGAAGAAGTAAGTAAAGCATTTGAAGATATTCTCAAAAACAACGGAAATAGAGTACCTAAAAATATACAAAGTGATCATGGAAAAGAATACTATAACAAACATTTTAGTTTTATTTTAAAAAAATATAATATAAACCATTACAGCACCTTCAGTACAAAAAAGGCAGCCATTGCAGAACGATTAATACGAACTTTGAAAGAAAAAATATTTAAGCATTTTACTCTTAATGGATCATATCGATGGTATGATATTTTATTTGACTTAGTTGATATGTATAATAATCATAAGCATCGTACAATTGGTTTAAGGCCATCTGAAGTTAATAAAACTAATGAAAATGATATTTTGAATAATGTGTACAGTCATATCAAAATGGCTGGAAATAGAAAATTGAAAGTTGGAAACTTGGTTAGAATCTCCAAAGAAAAGCATTTGTTTAATAAAGGATATTTGCCGAATTGGACAACTGAGGTATTTAAAATATCAAAAGTTCAAATAACTAATCCTACAACGTATTTGCTGGAAGATTTACGTGGAAATCCGATTTCGGGGGGATTTTACAATGAGGAATTACAAAAAACATCCATCCAGATGTTTATTTCGTTGAGAAGGTATTAAGAAAGAAAAATAATAAAGTTTACGTGAAATGGCTTGGCTTTGATAGTTCTCATAACAGTTGGATAAACTCATCTAATCGTTTATAATATTTAAAAATTGTGGTGGGGAGATAGATTGATATATAGTAGTGTTATCATTTGCTCTTCCCGTCAATATTCAGAAAGATGTTCTGCCGTAAAGACATAGAAGATGAAGAATCAGATAGTGAAAACTATCAATCAGAAATTGAGAATTACTGCAAGGATATTGATTCGTACTATTGGACTGAAATAGAAATATAAACAAGGAGTGCAAACACCAAATTCTTCAAGAAAAAACACCTTACTTATTGGGTACAGATTATGTAACTGCTGATTGTAGTCCGTTAAGTATCCATTGTGGCTTGAGTATTGCAAGGTCTTTCGAACCATCAGTAAAATTGATGAAAAAATCAGAAATAGGAACTCAAATCACATTCAGTGCTGACGAATGGGAACTTTTTATTTTCAGCTTACGATGTCTGGACATCAGTTATTTATCGGACAATGAAGTACCATGCATTACAACATCCAAAGAAGAGGACATTAAACATATTGAATGTGATGAAGATGTGAAAATATGCAAAACGTCAACTTTAGATTGTAAAATTTTAAAAGTTTACACAAGTAGGGCCTGCTTTTATCTATCACATAATGTGATAAATGATATACTCCATATTGATGAAAATATTATCAAATATAAAGTAGGTGCTTTATATAAAATGAACTTCCAACAATTTTATCAAAACTTTTTAGAGATTGTTTGTAACGTAGTACTACAAACTCAGGAAAGAAATTATGAACTTGTAATAAGATCCTTTTGTGACGTATGTAATGATAACATAGAAAGTTATTGTGTACGAGAATGCTTACTGTACTATAAAAATAAGCTCTTAAGTGATTTAGCTAGTAAATTATCTGTGTATGAAGCAGCTTTGATTAAATAAACGGTTTTGTAAGAAAATTTTATTTGTTTTTTATTATAGGAAGGGGTAAGGAAACATACAGACATATTGCAAAACGTATTTTTATTTTCGTTACATATATTTTATGATACAGTCAATGTTTAGCAGTATATGCAAGCACATTTACATACATTCTTAAAAGTCAATGTCGGAATCATCGTTACCAGAATCTACAAATCTCGTAACATATGGGTGATTATTATTATAATGATCGATGTTATGTAGGTCATTTACACAAGTATATTCGTCTTTCAAACCAAACAATAGTTCCAAAAAGTCATTTTGACAGTACATATTTGTAGATCTGTATAAGCGATGAATTTCTTGAACCAGTAGTGTTATACGATAATGGTCTCGAAGAACAGTAGGTCTTTTTTTATTCCAGTGGCCCATTACTACCATAAATGCGTTACAGCAACCCCAACATAATCTTAAATTATATTCTGGAATGTAACAAATGTTAACCCAAACACAATACTTTGGAAAAATATATATGTCTTCAAAATTTGCTTGACATAAAAGTGCCTTCCTATGGGTTTCACTAGGTATTTCCCTTGTATGCTCCACTGCTTGTATAATTAAAATATCTGTTAAAGGATTATCGTGTGCTTCAAGCAATATTTTTGTCCATTTAAAATTCGCATAACACTTGATAACTTCCACAGTTAGTGTCCATGGTAATGGTGACACATTAGTAAAAGTAACGATTGATTTTACACATTCTGCAACTTTTTTAAGTGATAATTCTCTAAGACTTATCATACCTAAAATAAAATTGTACATGTTACATTTCTTCGTTTGATGCTATGCTATAATGTCCCCAAGGTAAAGTATCATGACTGTTTTTGATTAAATAACGTTTATCATCGTATGGACTGAGAGCTTTTTTCAACTGCGTAATTGAAAAAATATTATGATTCTCAGATCTGATTAAATTCTGATTAAATGACTGCACTTCTAAATTTTTCAAACAGTTCAAGTAACAATCAAATGTTATTTTCGCATCAACTACAGATTTTTTGACTCCTTTGATTTTCTTAGTAACACCTATATTTGACATGATAATTTCCGCAGTATCTCCAGTACAACCACTTTCAAGCAGACTCAACCGCATATCTTCTATTCCTTAGGCGTTGTTAATCGTTTTATAGAGTACATTTTTGATCTGAGACCAACGAATTCGGTTAACGGTATACCTTTATATTCATCCTTCATAATTCCCGGAACCTTTTTATTAACCAACGGTATGTTATACACATTATCTGTTGGATAATCGCTGGTATCAAAATATTGAAAACAATCTTGTTTGATTACGTCTAAATAAAAATCTGCACATTTTACCTCATACGTCATCGAGTCTGTGTCCATATACAGGGTCTTACACGTATTTAATGGGAATTTTTTCAACATGTAATTATAGTGAAAGTCATATAAGCATACTTTGGAAATGTCCAAAATCGTCATTCCAATATATAGGGGCTTGTTGAAGAGAAGTTCGGTTTTTTTCATTTCAATCGCTACGAGATTATCATCAAAGACTACTCTGCTATGAAAATTGGGGCTGGCTATTAGTTTCCTTGCACCATACCGACCTTCCCATTTGTTAGTGATACGGACTAGACGATGCTTTCGAACATTTTCCATACATTTTCCAAAACAGGAGTTGACAAGGTCTTTATACAAGGTTTTGTCAAAATCATTTGTAGCTAGCATACGTAATTTTGTATTCATCTCTACGTAAGGTTTCATCCAAGCAGCTTGCTTAAATTGCAAAATGCGGTGTACTTTTTTCAAAACTAAGCCATGTGCTAAAGCTTGTTTTAAATTCTATAATGAATTATGTAATTTGTTTTATCGTAGAGAGTTGTCATTAATTTTGATAATTTTGAACCTGGTGGTACTCGATGCTCTGGACATAGCGGAAAATCTTTATGTTCATCGTGCAAATACTTTGGATACTCAAGGTCTACTTCGAGTATGTAACCAATATCTGCATCATCTGCAATATCATGTACATTCAACGTATCAACATTTTCCATCCAAGCAAACCCTGCATAAGGAAGATACTGAGTCATAGCAAATGCGTATAATGCATTAACATCCAAATAAATGATAAACGTTGATGGTGCAGAGCTATCATAATCCGGTAGATATTTGTTATTAGCCTTTGAATACCTATTACAACATTGAGAGATTCCTCCGCGTATGCCACGTTCTACAAATAATAGCATATCAACATTTTTTAAAATTTCAATCTTACATCCGGTATAGCGTAGCATACAATCAAATGTATAACCTGGTAGGGTATAATACCATGCAGGATCTAAACCGTGCGTCCTATGAGCAGTTTGTCTAAAATTTTCAAAAACGTCTGCTAATAAGATAATGTCTGTTTTCAAATAAAGATCACTATATTGTCCGATGTTCTGAATTTCGAAATTGGTCCACACATCTTTAGCACGTTGGTACTCGTTATTGCTAACGTTTGTGTCATTTAGTCTATTGTAAAATAGTTCATGTATAGGTAGTTCTGTTTCATTCAACTTTTGCCATGAGTCAACATAATCGTATGGAAATACACCTTTTTTTGTTAGCAACTCAAACTTTTCATCGTTCAAGTGTCCAAACTCTTTTTTTAATATGTGTAAAGCTCCGATATCTAACAAATTAACAAGTTTATCCAAAGATGCAGCCAAAAATCTAAAGGAATCTATGAAACGGAACGCAATATCGGATACATTGTTTCGGATAGTGAATGAAATATATTTTTGCTTATTTAATGGAAGCAAAACAACTCGATTAGATTTTGCAATGTCCTTAATTATAAAATGAGAATCATAACGGCTCAAATTATGAAGCACAACTGGAACTATGAATGAGTTTTTATAATTTAAATTACATTTAGAATGAGCAAATCCCCGAAAATCACCACTCAGATGACAGTGGTCCCTTACAATTTTAGAGTCAGCTTTGAATGGTTTCTTACATATATGACAATGCGAACTAACATTTTTAAAATCACGTATGTATTCATTGGAACAACAAATTGAAGTTTTGACTGAACAAACTTTGACATTTCCTCCATTTCTTTTGAAAACCACTGTATACAATCTATACCGCGATAGGATTTATAAAATGATAATGAATCATCGTAACTGCACTTGAAATAATAACCGGCGCTGAATGCTTCATGTTTTTGATACTTGATCATATGCGACAATGTTGATTTTTGTTAGTTTCACTGAATGGTAGTAACATTGATTCAAAGTCAGCGTAAATTATAAAAGGTACTTTCTCCGCATATCGGAAGTTCTTAAATTTTAGGATAGTGTCTTTAGGAAATGATATTTTGTAATCGTTCAATTTTTGACAGTGGATTTCATGTTCATGTAGCTGCTTCTCTGTATGGAAGTATTGAAGACATCTATCACAAATCCATTTCTTACTGTGAGCCTTACTTAATTGATAGCTTACTAAACGAGCAAGATTTTTAATATACACGTAATGATAAGTAATTTCAAATCATCATCATCTGTGCTAAAATCATCATTTTCCAATGGTAACGGTTCGAAATCATTTAATTTGGGATAATATTTGTTCTGTATCATTAACAGGTTGACATGTTTTAACAGTTTTTTTTGAGTGAGTCTTAATGGTACAATGTTATAAAAAGATTTACTCTCCTGTACAATCAACTCAGCTCCAAAAACATTAACAGAAATTTTATTCATTTCCTCGAACTTACTTATATCTATTAAGCGAACGGGCATTTCCAACCCTTCTAAGTTAAGAACTTCCGTATAACGAGGATAGGACGAGGTTCTATCCGTATGACTTTTAGCAGGATAAAGGGCACTTATTATAGACCAGGCAAAGCATGCATTATCATTATGATTTTTTATATTGATACACGCCTTTTTCCGAGCAATTTGAGTAGGTAATTTCACGTATGATGAACTTACGTTACCAAATTCCACTTTATTTATATTAATTTCTAAAGAGATAATCTTTAATAACGACCAGCCACTCAATCTTTCTTGAAATTCTGATAGCTTGTTCAAAATTTTATCAACAATGTTATCTTTGTACCATTGTTGTAAATTTGTACTTTGATCAATGATAGCATTTCTGGTATTGAAATATTTAAAATCATTGATATCTGTACCATTCGAAGACTTAATAAATTCACCACAAAAGGTCCCATTTACTTTCAAAATGGACATTACGGACAATTTATTTTGTATTTGATGCTCGAATAGATTGAACGCATCAAGGAAAAAATCATGTATATCAACATGTTTTAAATTTATAATAACACCAGTATGAATTCGACTAACAAAGGTTGACTCAGTATCTTCCCATACAACCCTTTTTGGCGTACTAAATGTACCACGACCTACATGAAAGGACTCTGAAAAAATTTATATCTTTTCAGTGTACCCACACCAGTAGAACAGCTTTTCGTGTATTAACACTAATATATTTATTTTTAAGAGCTTGTGAAAAATTATTAAATTTTCATTAATCAGTTTTATCCGCGTTTTTATCTGATTCAGAAGCATTTTTTTTTTCAGTATGAGTTTCATAAGCTTTTTTAAAAATCTTACAGTATTTTTGACTGATTCACTGAATGGTTCTGAAAGGTCCATTGAATTTCATGTAAAACAATCAATATTACTTTACCTTGAGAATAACAATATTAGCCTATAATACAAGTGTTCTTACTTATTCGTGTAGGTCCTTAAGCTTAAAATGGTGAACTTGATTATCCCGAAAGAGCTGGGCACGCTGCCTGTATACGCAATTGCGTAACGTCCCGGAGTGAAATTTTCTAAGTTTTCGATGATCACTTCCGTCGCTCTCCCTGGTAGAAACACTACAAAATTTTGTAGCTCCACCAACGGCACCTGTCCAAAACGTCCTTGTACGATTCTTATTGAAAGTACAGTCTGGTATTGGTTAAGCGGTAGCTCGTACAGGCTCTTTTCGGCTTACTCGTGTAGCTCGTAGCTGCAATTTCATTTATCTTGCTTAAGTCCATGTTTATCTAAAATAAATAAAAAATTGTGAATAATAGAAGTTACCAAGAAGTTAACATAAAATCAATATATTAGCATTCATCTAACTATTGCTCTTTCAATACATCAAAAAGTATTTTACTATATATAAATACGAAAGCTCAAACTGAAACATGTCACATGAAGTAAATCAAACAAAATTAAAATACTAGCATTGTTGGAATTTATTAGATACACAATACAGACTGTACTGTTTCAATATTGTATCAATGTTAAAAACTAAAACTTACCAGAAATTATTTCCAATCACTTCACATGCACTTTACAAGCCTGTATGTAAATAAGCTGCAACTGCATCTATTGCTAATCATTAACTGTATGCACCGCATTTGAGCAATTCCATTTTATATGCGCACTGAAAATGACGTGTTGACTATTGAGATCATCATAGATGCATTGTTCTGCGATTTCATAATGCATCTATAATTACTATATTCATCGGGTTTTACCAATCTATATGCAATAATTTACCACAAAACGTGAGTATCGTTTGGTTTGTTTTTATTAGAAGGAAGAGATGCATAGTATAAATTCTTCAACTGAAACTAGCGGGTCATATTTTCTGAAGAATAAATAGGAAAAACAAGTCTATGCATAAGCCATCTGACACATCTCACGTTTTATGGTAATTATTGCATATAGATTGGTAAAAAACCGATGAGTAATAGTAATTATAGATGCAATAATTTACCACAAAACGTGAGATGAGTCAGATGGCTTATGCATAGGCTTGTTTTCCTATATATTCTTCAGAAAAATATAGCCCAGTAGTTTTCAATTGAAGAATTTATCACTATGTATCTCTTCCTTCTAAAAAAAAAAAACAAACCAAACGATACTCACTATTCAAATTATATATATATATAGTTGTAGCTTGATTATTTTCATTATTTGTTATAATGTCACAGTACGGTACAGCATACTGCCTAAAATGTCAAAAACACTTCTGCTTTTGTCCAGAGTCCATCAATTATCACATACTTTCAGAAGAAGAAGAAGAAGACAACTCTCTGATTTGCTCCGAATCAATAGAATCTACTCCATCTCCGGAGGCACCTGCATCAACGGCACCCGGACCATCCACCACCCCCACCACCACCACCAAAAACATACAACAAAAACAAAGTTGCCATTGCAATAAAAGGGAAAAAGCGTCAGCCCTACCAAACCAACCAACAAAAAACATAACTATACAAGTACATTATAATGACAAAGGGGAATATTATATAAAACAATTAAATTCAAAACAACGTGTAACTGTGAGAAAAACAAATAAAGATAGATAAACTCCTTACAGCGTATCGTTTATTCTCTGCTATCTACACCCCCTCACCTACCCCCCCAGTAGTACGCTCGCCAGAACGAGCCCCATGCGCATGCGCACGCGCGCGCGCGACTAAGGGGGATGGTGGCAAAAAGGCGTTGAAAAACGACGGTTTTTTTTTGTAATTTGGTCTAGAGTGACTGGTCTAGAACGTACTTTGGTCCAGAACGTGTAGTGGTCGGGAACGCCTATAAGTTTTACGTTACAATTTCACATGCTATTTTAGGTGGTCGGGAACGCCTATAGATGTACTACTGATAACTGTCACCAAATTTGAATAAGGACTTGCTTTTCATTTGATTGAAACAAAGTCATCGATGTTTTTCTCTGGAATTAAAAAACGAAGTAGATAGCTATCATCTAAACATACTGGTTTTAATCCGTCCGACCCCAGACAGTTAACCACGGACAGATGTTTTGTGCCTGTTGGCCAACATATGAGCATCGTCTAGGCTTGGCCTGAGGTCAGGACAACGAACGTAAATATAGCAACTAACCTCTTTCTGAGGTATAAGGTCTATCGGAACAAGACAGTATAAGGTGCCCATCTATTGCCAGAATCGAAGTTTATGCTGGCTTATTTTAACAGTTAGAATATTATATCGAGGCAGTAAGAGAAGACTAAGGAAATTTTATTCATCAGACTTACCATAAAGTGGGCCAAAAAGTTATTGTTTCTATCTACTTTATATATTTTCAAGATTTCTAGAAGCCACGAGTTTCGGCCTTTAGTCTTAGTCGTATGCGTGACAAGCCTATCAAACAAAAGTGCTTATTTGCGACCTTGACCTTTTCTTTTATACCCGCACTGTTGCACGGCCATTATGTGCCGCAGATTGGGCTGGTTATCAATTTGGTAGGTTAGTGTGGCAGTCATTACTTTGTACAAAGGGTACTATAAAAGTTTTGCAATATGACTTAACAAATGGACGCAGGAGGCTGCATGTTACTGCATGTTGAGACATGTCCATGAGTGCATAGTAGCCGTTAGCAGCAGCACGTTTGTTGATTTAGTTGCTCATTCGTATTGACGGTGTGAAGTGCGGCTTGTGGCATCGTGGCCACATAGTAAGATAAAAGCAGTTTTTCGGTATAACCTTACGCGTGGTTTAAGCATAAACCAGTGTTTAGAAGAAATGACGCTTGCATCAAAGAATGATTGTCCTCATCGTACGACTAAATTGAGGTGGTACAGAGAATTCCAAGGGGGCAATTTCACTATGGAGGATGCTGAGAGGGAAGGAATTCCGCGAACGTCAGTAACAGAGGAAAACATTACTGCTAAGAGGAAAATGCTTAACAAAGACTGGAGAGCGACATACCATCAGATAGAGGAGACCTTACACCTTCATGCACCAGGAGGAAGGAAAATTTGTTCTTTCTTGGGTACCGCATAGTCTTACGGATGAGCAGAAGACTCGTTGTACGACTTGGTTCCGAAAGATGCTGAAAATGTTTGATAAGGGTGACAGGTGATGGTGACGAGACTTGGCTCTATTACTACGATGTGCCGATCAAGGCTCAAAACAAAGTTTGGGTATCTGATGATAAAGACACACCCGTAGCTATCAGAAAATCCTGATCTGTTAAGAAAAAAATGATAGCTGTATTTTTCAAATCGAGCGGGATTGTGGAGGTTCGTTTTGGACACATAGAAGACAGTCACTGCTAAGTAGTACACGGAACAGTGCCTGCCTAGATTCATAGAGCCTATGAAAAACCTGCGGCCAAAGTCAAGAATGGACACTTGGTGCCTCAACCTTGACAACGCTCCCGCTCACCACGCCAAAGCCTGCACAGAGTATTTGACCACTACTCGAATGAAACTTATTGAGCACCCTCGTTACAGTCCAGATCTTGCTCCCTGCTTATTTGCACTGTTTTTACATATGAAAGTGAAGATAAAAGAAAACGGTTTTCTAGCGATGAGGACCTTCTGAGAGCTTGGGATAATGAGTGTGCCGCAGCCCCGGGTGAAACTTGGCAGAGCTGGTTCAAGCGGTTTGGCGGATGGAGAGGCAATAATAGTAATAGCGTTTATTTGCAGTTAAAAAGCTTACATAGAATACAAAATAGGGGAAAAACAACCAATTACACTTACTGCAAGCTGGACCAGCAAACAGTCTAGGGCTACTACTGGCCCAGTGACAAAACAAAACAGACAGCACAATTTCATAGCTGACTACGGATAATACAATTTTAATCAATTCAAAGAAGAAGACTCTCGAAAAAATTAAAACACAATGTGTGTCTGTAATCAAACTTCACGTTAAAATTCATACCAGATGAGAAGGACAACACAGGAAAGACTCAACTATTGTTGCTCCAAAAGAAATTTCTTATTTTTTTTTTGATAGCTGACACTTTCGTGGACTTAAGGCGGCTCCGACGCAGTGAGATTCAATCCATTTACAAGGGTTCAGCTGCTTCGAAACTGACACTCCATTTTTCAATATTTTTTAATGAAATCCATACAGTATGTTCAGAAGATAATTTCCCAGGGTACTATGTGAGCATTTTTTGAAATTTTGTTTTTGGACAAGTTTTATGATTTGTTGAAGTGCTCACTTTTTCTGTTTAACTTCGCGATTTTCTTAAAAAGAATCTAGTGAAAAAAACGAAAAAGTGGCTCATAGCACCCTGTGGGGTTTTGTTTTCAGCACACCATGAAAATTTCTTTCAAAAATATCAAAAAAAGGCGTCGATTTCGTAGCACGCAAACCTCTACAAATCGTATTTTGGACGAATTTTGTCGAACTGTTTCGTGCTGCCAACTCTAGCGTTGCGGCGCAATCTACAGATTAAGAAAGGACGTATTCAGATAATTTGGTGACCCTATTTCATATATATCGCATAGATAAGTCGTTCTGCAAATAGGTATTCATAATCGCGATCGCTGATACTCTTCGATTTAAAGCCGTTTTACTTCCCACGCCAGTGGCGCGGAAGTATTGTAATCGCAAAAGATTTCTAAAATGAGATGTTATTTTTTTTTTAAGTCATATGACACATCTACATCACGAAAAACTATATCCATCATCAACTTTTATTTTTATGAAATTTCCACATGGGCCTACTAGTATGCCAAAGCTTTGTAGTTTTAGTCCAATGGCAAGGGTGCTATAGGCAAAAAAGAAAAAGTAACAATTGCTGAAACATAAAAAAATTGTACTGCTTAAAAAGTGGGGGTTGGGGGAAGGTGATTTTAAATGTTGCATCTTTGATATCAGTGAAACACGTTCTATTATTAAGAAGCTTCTGGTCCCAGTGATTGCAGGAAATTTAGGTAATGAAAATGCGACGAAAAATGTGTAAGATATTTTATATACAGGTATTTAGCTACATAAATCTGTAACCATTAATATGAATATTAGAATTCGAAATATCATCAAGCAACCACGTCTCACACACACCAACCAGATCAAACTCTCTCTTTAAAATAAACTGTTTGAATTCAAAGAAATTACTTGTCAGCGACCTTACGTTAATAAAGCAAAAAGATAATTCTTCCATGAAAAGATATTCATGTACTTAACGCAATCAATGTTTACTTTTTACATTAAGAATAAAGTTTAGCACACAAATGATTCTTATTTCACTTTTAAAGCATCCACATCAGCCTTTGAAACAATCTTCACTACCGCACCACCATTTCTTTTCCTCACATAAACTTGGCCATTTCTACGCCACACATACTTGAATCTTCCTATCTTCAAATCATGACGTACTTAAAAACATCGCTGACTGCCCTCGGAAAATCTTCATTAATATAAATCCTACTGTCTGAGTTATTGTTGTTGCATCTTTTACCATCCAACCTCATTCTGCTTCCTTTTGTTGGCTACACAGACACCTTATAATCATCACCATCTACCGCCATTTGGCACAAACCTTTTTACATTCGTTTCGGCATCCCGGACGTCACTGAAACCTATCATAATTACATTTTCTTTCAACTATCATTTTCTTCTTTCTACAATTAGCTCGAACTTTGAACGAAGTTAATAAATAAGGCCGTATTGCAAAACTTTTATAGTCCCCTTTGTATATTACTGGGAGACAAGTAATGAGCCTATAATCTTGTGGACCAACATCGGCATTCATTTCTGGAATCATGTACATGATACCTTCTGTTAGAAATGCAGGGATCTCATTTGAAGAAGCTATTATTCCTTGATAGGTGATTGTGGTTAGCAGCAAAGTTTCTCCATCAAAATGCATATAGCTTGTCTCTCACTGGTGCTTTCCAATCGCTCATATTGTTCAAGGCACTAGAAAGGTTTTCACATAGACAGGCAAGAAGTTTGTCAGACCTTGCTCATCCGGTGTTGTGGTGTCCATTACTTTCTTGCCGAATTGCCTACAAAAGTTTCTCTGATCGGGGTTGAATAACCTTTTTTCATGGAACCTTTGTGTCCTGGTTTTGTACTTTCTTCGCCTTGATGCCAAAACCGTAAATTTTTGGCTTCATGTTATCAACAAGCTATAGCAGATTTTGCTGTGTATAATGCCGATTTTGCTTCTATTTTACTTTCCAGGCGTTGCTGCTATGGGGGCTTTTGTTCATGGCTGTTTATACCTAGCGAATCCACCACCGCTAATGCACAATAGACAAGATGACAGCTATACTCCAGGCTCGACTCTGACTACAATTTACCCGTTATAAGATGATTAGCTTGCGTACTAATGTCGGATGATCTAAATTTCTTTGGAAGGACGGCAGAGCGGGTCTGTTATCAAAAGGGATGTCCTGGTAAAGAAAAAGTAGCCTTCTAAGCTTATTTGCCAGGCCAGGCCAGGGGAAAGAAGCCTAACTTACCGGCTCCAGTTGTACACTTTGAGCCACTTCATCCATATCTATCTCTGCCAAAGGGGTGTTGGGACCTGTGATATGTACTCAAGTTGTTTTAATTCAGCTTTAGACAACATCTTCTTATTCAAAATATACCAAAGTAGTCTGAAAGTCTGTTTAATGTTTAATTCCCGCAGCTTCTCGTTACGGTATCCCGCAAAGAAGTAATTCTCATTCATCGTTACTTTATAGTAGACGCGCATTATATCAATTATTTTGAGTCTTTTCAAACGTCTACCCCCTTATTATTATTATCATCATTATTATCATTAGGCAAAGGATGCATAAACAGATGCTTAATTGGATCTGTTATACGGTAGCGTTTCATGCTCCTTAGCCATTAGGTTGGTATGGGTTTTTTCTAGTGTTCTACTGAAAAATTCAGTAAGTAGTACCAGTTTCTGTCGGTAGGACCGATTTCATTTCTACTAGGAGAAGTGAAGCTGCTCTGTTGGGTTCGTTTACACATATTAAAAAAGATCCTGTACATTGATCAATGCTTATCGGGCGAAGTGTCACGTTTCACGTTTGCAATGTCAATCTATTCGCGGTTTCTTTGTGTCGCTACTTCTCAGTAGCGTACAGCTTAAGA